TTGCATTCCATGCCAACGATTTTACAATTCGAATCTGAAATCCGAAAACCAAGGGCACAAATCGCAAAAACAGTTAATACAGCTTTTAAAATCCAGGGAACAGAAAAAACACATTGCTTTTTGAAGCTGATTCCAGGGCGGCTCTATAAATGTGTGTTTGCATATTTCAACCTTTACCTACCTATCTGCATAGTAAGTTGTGTTTTTACCTTTGTTTTCACATTCTTAATGGTGTGTTTTGATCTGTCCTATCACAGCTGTCTTCTAATGTGTGGCCATACCCAAATTTACTGTGTAAGCATTATTCTTGGGCCAAGCCAGGACTATCTGCTGCTGTAACATAACAATCTCCCAGTTTGACTCTCAGTCCATCCGTCTGTCCGTCTGTCCGTCCTGTCCGATCATTGATTCATAACTCTCTGTCTAATAACTCTCTGCTCGTATGCAGTCTCTTTGCTCTCTGAGAGGTTTGTTTTGTTTGTCTGTCGATCAGCAACTTACAACTCCAACATCCATCTGCAAAGATCTTTTGAAGATCAAGACCTTGTTAATGTGCTGAATGATGCGTCTTGTAAGCGCCACTTACCAATATGGATTTTTCAGGGGCAATACCGATATTGGGGAGAGGAAAAAAAATCACTGCCGATATATATCTGCTATCTTTGTTAGATCTATGTTCCATCATTAAAGACTGATAGATCTATATAGACATCTATTGGGTTGGTCCCCCAAAATGTAGTAATCAAACACTTGTGGTAAAGATATAATGAAGACAAGATGGTGACTCAACTGGAAAGCAGCTGCACATGCACGTTGACACTCTGGAGAGTAATAATGCTTGTTGTAATCTTTATAGCACCCTCTGCTGGTGACAGCCAGAGAGAGAACTGCTAGTGTTATACAATGATACTCAAATGAGATGCTTTTTGATGGGTGAATAATTCTCATAATATCAGTGCATATCTGCGATAAAATGAGGTGATATGGATACTCAAGTGATTTGCTCATATAGGTCGATACTATCGGCTGGCCGATTAATCGGTCAGGCTCTGCTAATTATGTTCTAAATTTGTGCATTTACAATGAGAAAAGTTCAGCAGGATATCTGGATGGTAGTTGGGGAGAATTAAAAAATGAATGTGTTTGTCTATTACTGTTTAGCCTGGGATAAAGTGCCAAACAATCTGTGCTAATCTGGTTCTTACGTTGTGTACAGGAAACACAGCTGTACATGACCAGACACTTTTTTGCCTGCATTTGGTACGAGGCAGTTACCCCACACACTCAGACCATTGTCTCTGAACAATTTTATGATACTTAGAAAATACGATTTTTTTTTAGCAGCATTAGTTAATAAACTGCCCTTCCTTTGACAGATGGTATCAGCTGAAAGTAACACAGTTAGAGTTAAGAGTGGTGTTCTTCATCAGGCTGCAGCAGCAGCTAATCCATCAGCTGGAGCGATGACATTTAACAGGATGACAAATGCTACTGGGATGAAATTTACACTAAAATGAAAGAATTATTCCTCTGAACTCAACCATTTCTCTTCTTTCAATCATGATGACCTGATTCTGTTTCACATCTCCACAAAAAAAGTTTGATTGACTCAGAATGGCTCTGATGAGTGATGGAGATTGAGCTACTAAACATTAAAGTTTCACTTGACATTAAAAATAAATGAGAGGGGATTTTGTGTGCGGTTGTACGTTTTAAGTCAATCTTAACTTAAGAGATAAAATGTAAAATTAAGCTTTTTTTTTACAACGTTGTCATTCTTCCTCATTTTTATCTTCAGAACATGTTGTTACCTTTCCTGATTCCTTACTGGCTGACATAAAACTGACACTAGAGGAGACATGAGTAGCATATCATCACTAAAGAAAGTCAGATCTAAACAAGCTAGTAAACATCAACAATCTCACTGTAACTTCACAGCATCCAAAGCAAGAAAAGGGTTTCCAATTATAGTGCTCAGATGCTGTTTACAGTTTCTGTGTTAGAACAGATGGAGATCTGGGTTTGATGACAAGATGCTACAGTGACGGTAAACTGCTTCTTTAAGAGGAGCACACATACCAATGTTGGAGCTATTTACAGTGTGAAATAATGAGATGAGATTATATAATTCAAATGAGATTACATATACTGTATATTTTATTGTCCCTGAGGGAAATTTGCCTTGGGAAACTAGAGAAAAAGAAACGTGCAGCTCAGTCCAACTTGAGGTACCATTAAAAACAAAAAACAAAAAAACATCCCACGGCAATACTGGCAACCAAACGATCGATTCATGTAAAGCCTGCTGGGTTGGAATCCACAGGTTGGTTGCAGAGCCGTTTTCTGTGTGCCTTGGAAATAAGTTGTTTGGAAATGTTTATACTGTGCTTTTATTTTGAAGGAAGTGTTTCTTACAAGCAGCTACCTCTGGTGTTAAATGAACCCAATGTTGAAAGTGCAAAAAAAAAATTCAGTTCCTAAAGTGTCCACTTGAGACTGGTTCCTCTTTATTAAAATGGCAATTTCTACAGCAGAATTACAAGTTTACAGCCTTGTACAAAGGAAAATAATTTGGTACCAATAGCTCAATTCTTAGATAGTCTTTATTAGTGGGGGTATGAAGTTTTAGATAACTCATCCATATTGATTATTGGAAGCCAAAGAGTTATGCACAAATTTGCATGATTAGCACATGTGTGCATTGTAGCTGTTAGTCAGGAGGCTTTTAAGACCCGCCTCAGCTTCACCTCTTTGCACGTTACTACCACTGATTGATAATTAAGTTGGGTAGTATTTCCAGTATAGACAGGCAGACATCATTGGGCTTCATAATTCCTCTTCATAAATCAATGGGTGGTATCACTGAGACTACAGCTATGTTTTATACAATCAATGGTCTTGGCTGGACTTTGATATGTTTCGATCCAATCCACTTTTCACAAGCCTTAGTGGGAATTTTGATTGAATTAAAAAGTTTGTCAGATTTTTTTATTTGTTGATTTGAGGAATGGTAATTGATGCTCCTCCAGTCAATGTTTGAATGCAGACATTAATTTGGAAAAAGAAAGCTGAAAACATTTCTATTTAGCCCTGGTAACCTTCCCTCTAAATGCAGCTCCACATGCTTATAGTTCCAAACATCTCCCTGCGTGTACAAAAGACAGAAATAAAGCACCAGAGAGGATAGACTTTTTCCACACAGGCCCTTTTTCACCCACTCTTTGCTTTTCTCTGAGGAAACCCTGAAGCAACCTCTGGGAGAACAGGGAGCATTGGTTAAAAAAATAGAAAAAGTTCTGGGACAGCAGCCTCTTCACTGTTGCGGTTGTACTGAGCTGAGTTGTAAAGCATGCAGATGAAGCGGCAAATGCCCATCAAATATTCAACAGGCCAGGGGAGGCAGTGCAGCTTGTAAAAGAGGAGAAAATAGAAAGGGCAGAAGCACTTCACTTCATACAATGTCTTTTTTCTCTGATGCTACCTCTATACTTTGCACTGACTCTCTGTTTCTGCGACCTTTTTTCACCGTCTCATCACATGCACACTTTGTTTGGATATTGAATGAGAGATGTGATGGTGAAATATGTGTCACTCCTCATTATTATCTGTTCCATCAGCAGTTATCCTTCTGCCTGTGAATTTCTGTCTGTATAATTTGCAGGATTTCAGTCTAACTATAAAGCTGATTTGACGAGTGTGAGTGTGTGTGTGTGAGAGAGTTGATCACTGTAGGAGCAGATGTAGATGCTGCAGGGCCGGCTGCAGCGGGCATGATGGGAGAAACTCTGCGGTCGTCACCTCCCACTGCCATGGCAACGGCCTGCGAGTCACCCCGGGCGAGCTTCACACCACAACGGCCACTTACCTACAGTCCTGGACTGACTACTGATTAGACCTGGTGGATGTTAAAGGGGAGTAATACAATAGCGTAGCCTTCTTGTAATTGTTATTGTAATCAGAAACAGACTGAAATATCTGAACACAGAAAACAGCTTCTTGAACCAGGATGATGATATGACTCACTGCATTCCTGATTGAAACCCAATACCAGTAGAAGGCTCTGACATTGTTACTATATGTTTGTACGTTACAGTGTTTTGTACTGTATTACACTTATTTTTACATCTTCCACAACTTTAAGTTCCCGACCATATTTGATGATGATTTGACCAAATTGTTCCAAACACAAATTCTGACACTTGTGCTTTAAATTTGTTAAATAATGTACTCAGCACAGCTTGCTGTAATTGGTGGTTCAAATGAGGTACGAGCACACTTTGGTTTTGGCATGTAAACTCTATTTTTATTTATAGCTTTATAAATCACACACTTCCCCTATAGAGGCATTACATCATCGGCTTAGATAACATCCTGCATCTGAAGAAGACCCTTTGTTTGGATAAGAGAAATAACCCCTTTAAGAAAACCCTCCAACTCTGGGGAGAAATGGAGCAATCCCAGGAGAAGATAACAGGAGAGTTCTCAGGAGGGAAAAAATAAAACGTGAAAAATGTGTCAAAAAAAATAATTCAACCAACAAGCTAAAATGGCATGGACTATAAAACTGCCATAATTATAGATGGGCTGTATTAAATCCAGTGCTTCAAGAAAGTGGGTAATGCAGATGCTACTTTGAAGGTGTGTTAGAAAACGGATGGTTGATGAGAGGCTAAACAATCGTGCATGGATATAATTTTAGTGTCTTTAATGTACTAAGAAAATGTATTCAGTATTATACTGTAAGGTGTGTGGATCATTATGTCTTGTTGGTCTCTCCCTCCTTCACACTCTTCTGTTCTAAAATTAGACTCACTCTAATTGACAGGCCGCTTCTCCATCCTCATCACCAAGAACCCATTCATCATCATCATCATCATCATCACCATCATCATCACCATCATCATCAACACCTCCTTCGCTTTTCTTCCCACGGGCGCTATACTTTCAGCACCGGACAGCGCCCGTCTTTCCCACGCTCCGCCCACCTCTAGCTGACAGGCAGCGAGAAACAACCACACACGCTGCTGGGCGACACTTCAGGTGGCCTATTACGCGTTTTATTGGGAGGGACGGAACTTCAGGAACAATTTGCTCCCCTCCTCGTCATCCTGCTCCTCTCACATGGATTTATCCGGGAAGGAGTAAGAGGAGATCGTACGTTGGCTTCACGTGAATGGATGGCGGACTGATTGAGGAGTCGGTGTTGGTTTTTTTTTTCTTCTACGAGTTAGGAGGCTTAAAGGCTGCGTTGGCAGTTTGGATCACATAAACGGAGAGGAGGAGGAAGAAGAAGAAAACAGCAAAAGACGAGAAGTGGAATCTTTTTCAGAGCGATTATGGATTTCAGATTTAGGGTGTTCTCTGGATTGTGCATCTGAAAGAGTATCTAATCCATAAAAAAAAAACCCACAGGAACAAAGAGAGAGGTTTGGTTATGCAAGCCTCACTTTGCAAAGTGCCCCCGGTTTCTTCCCTGCGCTTGTAAAGAGGAACGTTATGGCTCTCCTGGTGGTCCCGCTGCTCCTGCACACGGGGCTCGTTTTGGGCTCAAATTATGGATACGTGGAGTGGTCTGACAGCGACCGAGACGAGAAGAACCCACAAGTCTACAGCACCCAAAACATCAACAGGGAGCCGCCCCACCACCCGACGCACTACCCTCCTGTTCCGGCCACGGAGCGCGCGGTGGTGGCGCACAAAATCGAGGAGGACCTCCCGCGGGTCGTGACCGCTTTCCTGCACACCGGGGACTCCACCGCGCTCCGGCAGGTCAACTGCTCACGTAGATACGAGCTGAGCAGCCTGCGAGGCGGCCTGCACGTCGCCTCCCACTACTCCCTGCACAGCATCCTGGACACCGTAGCGCACGCGACAAACTTCCTGAACATGATCCTGCAGGCCAACAGGTCCCGCGAGCAAACCCTACGCAGGGACATCCACTGGTACCACGCGCTGGTGCAGAGCATCCTAGAGGGGGATCCCAAAATCCACAGAGCTGTGGTCACCTTCCACGAGGACGCGCCGACCCCAGGACCGCACGTTTTCCTCCAGGCGACCAGAAGTGAAAAAGAGGTGGTTCTGCAGGATTTATCCAGCTCTGCGCACCGTCACCTGAATAGCAGGAGCCCGGAGTCCGAGTGGTTTAACGAGTTCCGAGATCGTAGGAGACCACACATGCACAGGAAACTCCCGGAAGCAGCAGGGAGCCAGGGTGGAGGTTACCTCCTGGAGAAGAACCAGATTAAGTGGTCCGCTCCGTACCTGGAGTGTGAGCACGGGGCGTTTGTGCCTCATTGGCTGCTCACCTTGTCTGCAGGTTTCTATGGACTGAAGAGCAACTCTGCCCTGGAGTTCAGGTGAGAGGAAGTGCGTGTTTGTATAAGAGCTAATGTTAGAAAGAGAAAGGCAAACCATGCAGATGGTTTTTCACAAGTTCTGTAACATAACTATTTGTCTCTGAAATGAAAATTTGATTTCGTTTTATGTTTATTGTGTTCCATAGTTTTAAGACGACAATATAAACTTGAGAAGTCCATCAGTTGCAGTATCAGAGATGAACCATTCAGTGCATTCATCTAATATGATTATGTGAAAGCTCCCTTAAAAAATAAACTACCTTTAGATTTATTGTTTTGAAAAGAAATAAGAAACCACAACAAATAATCAAATAATTCAAACTATCAGCAAGTGCTTTTCTACTGTCTGTAATTATTTCTATGACACTGTGTTGAAGAACTGCTATTTATCGGCCAGTTGGTAGAAAAATTGGTTTCAGAACATTTTTCATAAATTTCAACAATGCTATCAACATCATCTCACATTTAATTACGGTTAACATCAATACAAGCCAAACCACATTTGATTGACAATGACGCACCATGAAACTACAATATGGATCCTGATCAGCTGCTGCCTTGATGCTGTAAACAGATGGTGTAAAAAGAGACTTCACAGACGCAGGTATAGACCATTCTCATTTAAAATGCGCGCCTGTCAAAGCACAGCTGTGAATCTCCTCTGCTGCATCCCTCCATCTAATGAACACTGCAGGCTTTACACAGTGTTTGTGTGTGAAGGGATCTATACAAGCGGGCTTTGGTGTGAGTTTGGATAGCCGTGAGGTGCATCAAATCACCTCAGGATCTCATGTTTCAAGGCTGCAGTCCAAGTGTGTGTGGAGAAGATCAATTAAATCATGAATAAGCAATGAATGATCACTAACTGCATTAAAAGCATCTGCGAATTGCCGGTGCATTAAAGCTTAACATCCGTCTATGGATGCATCACACATTAAGCTGTTCACATCAGAAAATCTGACAAGAATAAAGAGATTGTCCTTGATGCCAAAAAACACCTACATGGACTTACACCTACAGTAAACAGTTTATTTAAATCTTTCAACTGCAGCTGGAGACAAAACAAACGTGACATTTCATTTGGATGACACTTAAATGTTGGCTGCAGGGAGTTATGTGAGACCAGGCGTGTTTCAACCCTGTTGACGTGTCCCTGAGCAAGATGCTGCATCAATAACTTCTTCATGGACACTCACTCTCAGGTTATGGAGCTCCTGACGTGGCCTTGAGTCGCTCAGGACATTTTTGGGAAAAACACTGCACTTTGTCATCCCGAGCCTATAAAGATAATAAACATATCCACTGTGACATCATACATTGGTTATTGACCGTCTTTTTAGACATCAAGGCTAAACAGGCTGACCTCATGGCAACCTTACTTGCTGGATCATGAGCTAGGTTAATACCATTTTCCTGGAGAACAATATATCATTTGTGGTTGTAATTAACTGGAATAGTTTGGTTTTTTTAGACTGTGAAGCGAAGAGAGGTTGTGGAACATGTCAGGCTCACCTCTCAGTTACCCACATCTCCACAGAGAGAGATAAGGGCGGGTAAATGACGGGTAACAGCTCATCTCTTTGGCACACGTCTTCTCTGTGGGGAAAAGCCAACAATGTTCCTGACTCCCTTCACATGCCGCCATGAATAAATTAATGTACTGTATGATAAACACTGAACAAGCTTACAGGCAAGGAACATGAGTGGAGAGCAGCGGAAGAGAGATACCTACAACAGATAAATACAATGCTGCAATCAAGCCGCACTGACTTCTTGGACAGCCAATTAATTCAATAAGCCAAACATCAAGCCATGATATTTTCCTATAATCGCCTTTAAAAAAAAAAAGTCACCAGCAACATCAGTGCAACTATAAGGTTCAGTTTAATCCTTGAATCTGAAGAACACCTCGCAAACAGCTGCGGAATCCACATGTCCCTAAAAGAAGTCCCAATAATGCATAGCTTTACAGATATAGTATGCAACATTGTAAACATTAATATAGCAGATATCAAATATGCCCTAACTATATCGTTTTGTTTTCACTTTACTAAAATAGTGAAGTCAGACTCCCCCTGGGTTTGTTGTTCTCAGCTCTGTGGTCACACTGATGGTGCTTGCTCCAGTTTGTTTAAGTTTGATTACATGTTGTCTTTGCGTCAACCCCCCCTGTCCAACCGTTAGTCCTGGCACCACACAGGGGACGGACAGCCCCGCCCACTTAGGGCGCAATTTGTAGAGGCATAATGGTGGAGTGTCGTCGCTAGAGTACAGCTGAAGGAGAACCAACAGGCTTTCCAAACCAAAGGAATTAGAGCCCTACAAACAGCTACACTTGGTCTGAACACTAAGGGAGAGGGAATGAGGAGGGGAAGTTGTGTGGGGGAGGTATTGCCAAATAAAATCTTTGTTTTGGTTTGAGAGACTGGTGTTAAAGTGGGGAATCTACAGGAAATCTACTCTGAAAGATGAAAAAAAACTGAAACCTCTTCTATATGTACGGATGAGAAAATCTATCTACAGAGACCTAAACTGTCTTCTGACATGTTTATTTCTATGGTAAAGTTTGGCATTTTAATATGGAGCATAATGGTGATGAACTTTAGTTTTTTAGTGGCTGATTGAGGAATCGTATTGTTCAGCACTTCTGAGCCTCTGAGCTGCATGTTGTTTTCCATTTCATGAGTGACAAAGATGAAGTATTTACCACCAGAGAGAAAAACCGTTTGCTCAGAATTTGCTCATGGTCTAAAATTGAAGCTCACATAGCAAATAATGCATTGCATGAGAGAGACATTTTTTTATAGTGGACAATTTAATTTGCTTCAACAGCTTTTACATTTCTTTCTTTTGATGCTCTGTTTGTCTCCAAATGGACTTACAGCAGTCTGAGATGTTTCCTGTCTTATATCATCAACATGAAGTGATGAGGATGTTTAACCAATGGAGAAGAATAGCTCTATGCTATTGTGACAGTTGACTTAAGCATATGATATGCAGTTTAATCAAATTGATTCAGTTTACACATTCAGAAAGAAACAATTAACTTTTCAAGCTCAGCCAGAAGACTTTTGGAGTCTGTGTTAAAATCATTGCGACAAGTGATTTGTGACGGAGACGAAAAAAAGCAATGCCAGAAAATAATTTTCTTACAAATATTTTCCTTGAGCATGATATTTGTTTGTACATAAATGGCTCCAAGCTTCAAGAAGACAAGACAGACTTTCCTGATTTCCTGCAGTCTAAAAGCTCACAGGTTTTTTCCAGGGCTCTTATGGTCTTCATCAGTGATTGGAGTGGGCTCAGTGCTTTGAGTGGGAAACACAGTGTACCATATCTTACTGTGAGTAACAGTCAGTGTGATACGGTACATAAGGCAACATGTGGCCCACTATAATGATAACTTCATAATTCAACGATTCTGTGATATTTGATGAAAGACAATCTTAAAATGATGAATTCATCAGATTAACTCGATAATACAAAATACGTCTAAAATAGTCATTTAAAAAAATATTTTAAAACCGTAAAACCCCACGGCTGTAGTCCCAAGAGCAGCTGGTCTTGCATGTAAACATATTGATCTCAAACGCAATGGGGAAAACTGTTGTATAGTGTTTTCTACTTCAAAGCTCCATGAAAAATCTGAACTGTGATTTGGGATTGTTTTGTTCTATTTCCAAAGTAATGTAGCTCGGCACTATTTGGAAACACTTTGGGTGTCGACAGAGGAAGACGAATGAGGAGGAAACAGAATGAAATGGTTGTTTAAGACCAGAGCGGCTCATGTGATAAGACTCACTCTCTAATTGAGTCAAGAGATTGGCAGCGACTTCACAGTCAGACACAAGCTGCTGTCCTTCTCACTCCCCTCCTTGTAATGTGAGTTGTGGTCTGCAGCTTTTATGGGGCTTCTTCCACTCATCCCAGTCCTGTGATAAGGTTTCTAAAAATAGAAAGTTGTTTGGCTTTGGTCAGAAAAGTATAAGCTAGTGTAGATGATCGGGTCACATCCACTATGTTTTCCTCTTTCTATCTCAAAGCAGCTCTTTCTCATTTTTTCCCCTTTCTCACTGTCCATCTGACCCAATTTAAAGGCTGTGTCCATAAGGAGATATTTAAATGATATATGCTGGTTTAAAGTTATAAGCTAGGGAGGCAGACAGAGACTGACTGGAGACCCAGTAGGACAAAGGGGATGATATTTCAGGGGACGAAAGGTCTGAAGCTAGCTTAATTCTTCCAACAAGTAAAATCTGAACAAGGATATCTGTAAATCCAAAGTACATAAATGTTCAGACGTCACAACAGCCAAGATAATTTAGATAATAAAAAGATACGATAACACCAAAATGCACCGTCAGTCTGAATACTTCACCAGCCGCAACTTGTGTCTGATGTAGGAGCACAAACTGCTTTCAGAGCTAATGAATCAAATGTGTATAGTTTTTCACTGCAGGTGTTGGAAAAAACTGAATGAAAAAATAAATTGTAACATTTTTGTGCAATTGAGCAGAGCCAGAGAGAAAACAAAAGCAAGCAAGTTCACGAAGGCCATTTCTGTTGGAAAATAGAAAAACATATTTAAAAAGTTGCAAATGATCAAATCAAAAGCGCTATGACTCGTATGTTTTTTTCAAAGGTTAATTTTGTTTTTTTTGTTGCCTTTTTTGAACGGACAGTTGAAGATAGTCTGGAAATGTAGTGTAGAGAGAGTGGAGGATCACATCTGTAACACCATCCTTAGATTCAAATGATCATATTGGTGCATTACACATGCACGAAACTCAAAACACAAAATGGCAATTTTCCAGAAATATCAGGGTGAGCTGAACTTTAAACAAAAGCCAACTTCACGCCAACTTTACCCCGACCTTTTCTTGCTTGCCTCCTGGTATAATTTCTGTGTGAAGTTGGGGTGATCCAAATTTGTGAAAGCAGCAGGATAACCCTGCATGCTTGTGGGAGTGAGCGAAGCATTCTTTTCATGTCATGTCACC